AAGTCTCCTTAGTTGAATCATGGAATATCAAAGTTGGAAAAAGCATTATAGATCATTTGCCACCCCTCGTGTTCCCGAGTAGCCATCTGAAGCCTAGAGGGTTGAGGTTAGATGATTTGCCCAAAGTGACCAGATTTAAACATTGGTTTAGTCTGTTACTTAGAGTTTTCAACTGATGATGGTGCGAAGAGTTACTATTAGCAATTTGACCCCAGTTTCACAAGAGAGAGGATATCTGGGACTTTCTGAGTTCCATATAGACTAGAACAGAGATCTGCAAACTTTTTCTGTAAATATTTTAGGCTTTGCCAGCTACATAGGTCTCTGTCATATATTCTTTGTTGGTTTCTGTTTTTGACTTTTTACAAACCTTTAAAAATGTAACAACCATTTTTAGCTCGAGAGCCATATGAAAACAGACTGCAGGCTGGATTTGGCCCATGGGATTTGCCCACCCCCTGTCTAGGATGTCAGTAAGTTTGAGCTTTATCTGTCTCTTCACAGGAATCCGTCACTTGAAGATCAAGCTTGTGACCGAATTTATAGAGTAGGGCAGCAGAAAGATGTTGTCATACACAGGTAAGCAAGTCAAAGTTTTCCAGGACCGAATTCTGCTTTTGTGAAAGTCTTTCTTTGGTGATGTTTTAATAGAATGTGAAGTATTTGGTGATCACTGTACTAATGGTGCTCGTGGGGCACCTTCTCCTTGGTACTCACAGTCAGGAAGGGAACACAGGCAATTTGGGGTGACCTTTGTGTTGGTCCTTGCAAAAGGAGAAGAGCTCATGTGCAATGATGAGCCTTATCTCAGTCAAGGCAGTGCATGAAAGGTCCCTCCTCTCTTTCTCTCTCTCTTATTTTCCACTTTTAATTATTTTGACTTAATTTCAGACATATAAAAAAAGGATGTAAGGATTCTTACAAGATTATCCCAGATTCTTTTTTTTTTAATGGGGGGAGGTAATTAAGTTTGTTTGTTTGTTTGTTTTTAACAGAGATGCTGGGAATTAAACCCAAGACCTCATGCATGCTAGGCATGCAGTCTACCACTGCTCTATTCACTCCCCACTATGCTATACTCTCCCTCCACCCAAATTCTTGATTGCAAGAACAATACCAAAAAATTCCTGTATACTGTGACACGCATGTGTGCGTGCATGTGTGTGTGTGTAAGCTTTTTTCTGGACCATTTGAGGTAGGTTGCAGACATGATGCCCCTTGACCTCTAAATAGTAAAATGTGCATTTTCCAAAAATGACACTCTTTTACATTACCACAGTAAAATTATCAAACCCAGGATGTTAACAGTTACACAGTCTGATCTGTGGACCTTACTCAGCTTTGCCACTTGTCCTAGCAGTGTCCTTCTCAGCAAAATAAAATCCCTGTTTCGCATTCAGTTGTACACTTCTTTTGTTCCCCCTTAATCTGGAACAGTGTCTCAGTCTTTCTGTGAGTTTAATGACATTGACATTTTCAAAGTGCACAGGCCAGTTATTTTGTACAGTGTCCCTCCACTTGGGACCCTCCTCTCTAAAAACAACCACCAAACCGGCCTCAACAGTCCAGTCCAGTGTAGCTGTGGACCTCTTTTTCTCCTTCCTTTTCATGGCTGAGTTTCCTGAAGAATTAGAAATTGTTGTCTGTTCTTTACTTGCTTCCCTTCTGTTCATTCCTCAACCTTTGCAAACTGGCTTTCACCCCACTTGCTGCCCTGACACTGCGCTTGCTGGGGGGGCACCAACACATTTCACAACTGGCCAAGTACAGCGATCATATCAGTTGTTCTGTCTTCTGCTCTCTTCTCAGCTCGCTTTGTTTGCACCTCTCTTAATCCTGTCACCTCCAGTAAGTCCAAAACCTGTATCTTTCAGCTCCAAGGTCTCCTAAACTTCAGACCTAGATATCCACATCCCTGGGAAATATCTGAATCTGTGTGTCCACATATGCACTCATTAGTCATTCACTCGGGTATTTGTTTCATTCAGCTCAGAAAACTAATCCCTACTGAGCACTCACTATGTGCATGTTCCAGGGACTCAAAATGTCGCAAGCTGGAATTGTTTCTCCCTCTGACCTCATATCTATCGATTCTTCTGAAGTCCTTGTCTTTGTGAACAGGATCACTGTTTATCTAATCATAAAGCCAGAAACTAGGCTCCGCCCTCTTTCTCACTTTTCACAAGTAAAGTCCATTCATTTTATTTTCTATGTGTTTCTTGTAACCACCCCTTTCTTCCCATCCCACTTCCCGTGCCCCTTCCTTTCATATCTAGATTTATTAGCATGATATGCTAAGTCACTCAAGATCTGGCCCCCGCCAGCCTCTTGAGCATCGACTGTTGTAATAAAACATAGTTTTTGACTTTTGCCCTGGCCAGACGGGATGACTTCCCTAGCATACCATGTTCTAAAATTCAGCCATGATTTTACACATGTTCCCATTCCCTGGGATGCCCTCCCTACTGTTCATCTAGCAAATCTTGGCTCATCCTATGAGTTGCACTATGAGTTAACTTTATTTTTTTTAAATTGTAGTATAGTTGATTTACAATGTTGTGTTAGTTTCTGGTGTACAGCACAGTGATTCAGTTTTACATGCATGTGCTTTTTCATTACAGGTTATTACAAGGTATTAAATATGGTTCCCTATGCTATACAGTAGGACCTTGCTGTTTATACATTTTATGCATAATAATTTATATTTGCTAATCCTAAACTCCTAATTTATCCCTCCCCTACTTTACCCTTTGGTAGCCATAAGTTTGTTTTCTATGTCTGTAAATCTGTTTCTGTTTTGTAAATAAGTTCATTTGTATCATTTTTTAGACTCTGCATATAAGTGATATCATATGATATTTGTCTTTCTCTGTGTGGCTTCACTTAGTATGATCATCTTTAAGTCCATCCATGTTGTTGCATTATTTCATTCTTTTTTACAGCTGAGTAATATTCCATTGTATATACATACCACATCTTCTTTATCCAGTCATCTGTCTGATGGACATTTAGGTAGAATGGAACCTTCCCTGAATACTTTAGACAGCTTCCCTTTAATTCCTCTTGCACACTGGACATATTTCCTTTACAGCGCTTTCCAGGTCATATTATTTTTGTTTGTTTTCATGTCTGTCTCTTGTGCTCCCTTTGACAGTAAGACTATGTTCATCACTCTGTTCCTATGCCTAGCATAGTGTATAGCATAAATCAGTACTTGTTGAATATGTGAATAAAAGACAATGGCGGCATTTCCTCAGTTTGTAAAACCTGTTTGCAGTGTGAATTCACCAAGATATTAGACACGCTATACCTAAACTAGCACACATATTCCTAGCAGAAGCTTGATAAACTTTTCTGTGTGAAAGCTAGATCTCTACACTTTTTTGGATCAGGATACCTTTTGCTTATTTTGGCATTTCTCAATTATCTTAGCTTCAGAAAGAAAGAAAAAGTCAATTTGAGGTCAGACATCATTTTTAAGTGGATATGTATTTAGTCAAAGTTGTTTGGATCTCCTAAAAGTAGAGTTCTTAACCAAACCTAAGGAAACCTAAGTAACAGAAGAAATCTCATTAGAAAGCTAAAGCATAAATAGACATTTGCATGTGTCATTAGATATGTGGCTTTTGGTATTTGATTGTTTGCTTATTTGTCTACTTTTCAGATTTGTTTGTGAGGGAACAGTGGAAGAGAAGATCTTGCAGCTTCAAGAAAGAAAGAAGGATTTGGCCAAACAGATTCTATCAGGATCCGGAGAATTTGTCACCAAGCTCACCTTGGCTGACCTCAAAGTCCTTTTTGGCATCTAACTTCCTGGTTCTAGGTCTCAGAATGGCACCACTGTTGGTGAGCTCTCCTTGGCATTTCTTTTCACCATCAATCCTGATGCCCGCCTTACATTGAGGATCAGGTATCATATTAAGCAGTTGGTTAACCAGTTAAGTTAACTAGTCAACTTATTTCCTGAGTGACATAGAAACCAATGAATTACTTCAGATAAAAGAAAGTGCTTTAAAGTCAGATAATTTGGAAAACAACCCTGGGAGAGTTGTACCAAGCTTCAGTAAAAGCCCGAAAAGCCCTCTGTTGCCTTTCTTGTCTCAGCTGATGACTGAGTGTTACTGCCTTTTCTAACACAGGCTCCACCCTATCTCTTCATCCCTCCTGCCCTATAACCACCTCCATGGGCCAAGCAGAGGGTGGGTTCCTACAGCCATCCCTCTGCAGTTGTTTCAGCCCAGGCAGTTCTTCCTCTTGGGCGGAAGGTCAGGGAGGTGCTTTGTACATAACACATAGATGTTTAGTATTTGTGTCATCGTATCGTTTAGTATTTGGTGTCATATCATTTAGTGTTATTATTGCTATCATATCATGTAGCATTTGTGCCATATAATTTAATATTTGTCTCATTTTTATCGTATTTGTATTTTTACAAATTTACAGTATTTGTAGCATTTAGAATCATCATTTCATTTAGTATTGTTGTATCACTTAGTGTTTGTATTATCCTTGGTATAATCTAATAAATACATGTTTGACAGTGTAGCAGAGATAATGCTTTTGTTTACTAACCCCCATTTCCTTTTTCTCCTGGTCCAGAGAGACTACATTTCCTAGTCTTCACTGCAGTTATGCAGGTCCTTATTACTGAGTTCTATCTAAGTCAATGGAATGTGGAGAGAAGTGATGTAAGTCATTTCTTACCAGCCCTCTAACACTTCGCAAGTGATTCTTTGTGGTGTTTCTTCTGTCGTTGGTCCACTGAATATGATGGAACTGGTGGAAGACTGCAAGGCCCTAGGGAATTGTGACGCCACTGGATCAGAGTCTTAACCTGTTGTTGGCCATGGGCCCTTTGGTAGACCAGTAAGCCTCAGTTCCTGAATGTTGGCAGAGAAAAGCCTTGCCCGTATGCGCTTCCCTTCTCAATCCAGCACACCCACATTGGACTATGACACGATCAAGAAGTATTTTTTTAAAAAACTTGAGATTTGGGGGTTGTTTATACAGTGATTAGTATCCTGACTAATACAAACTCTTGAGACTTTGTTACTTTGGGAAACTGTTCAGACTCCCATCTTCCCATTAGCAGTCATTTCCAAAACACTTGCTCTGCTGATTTCTGCTAGAAAGAACTATATTTCTTCCTAGATAGAGCTGTTGCTCTCCTCTGAGTTGGGACTAGGAGACAAAGCCCTGCGTTAGCCCAGCCACAGTATGGACAGAGGCACTAAGACCTGTCTAAGCAATGATGCCCTCTAAAGACAAGGTCTGAAGATACAGAGGTAAAGACAGTAAGGCCTGCAAGGAAGAGTTCTGACTTAACTTGAGTTCCAGGTTCCCCTTAGCTGAGGGTACAGCTTTGGAAAAATCACTCACTTCTCTACATTCTGGTTTCTGCATTTGTGGCAGGCATTGTTTTTAGAACTCAGCAGCTATGGTGAGGTCCCTGATAAAAATCGGGAAATGGAGGCTGTAAGATCAGCACCAGAGCAAGGATAGCGTCACCTGCAAAGCAGTGGCTTCCAGGCCAGCAGGAACGGACAAACCCTGCCTCTGCCGTTTGTGGACCATCTGACATCAGGCTGGTTACAGATTCCCTGGGCGCCTCAGTTCTTTCATCGATGAGATGTGAGGATTAGCATACAGCTCACTCTGCTCCACTGGGAATTTAGTAACACATACATACTGTAACCCACATGACCAGATCGACAGGCGGGACCATGTCAGTCAGAAGGCGCATCAGGTGAACGCTGTCCATGTCCTTTCCAAGCACTGTTTAGGAGTGAGGCAGTGTTCACTTTGGTGTTCGAGTGTTCTTGCTTTTAGTCTGGAGATGGATGCAGAGGTTATAACTTATAATCTTCAGATAATCAGAGCCCACTGACCGATGTAATCTACTCTAAGATTCCTCTGGTATCTTGACCAGTTTCTCTAGTGTTCTCATTCTGAGCCTACACTTGCAAAGCCACCTAGTTATGTCGGGTGGGTGTTCCTGTAACAGTGAGATGCTGTTGATGTGAGGTGGGTACAGCAAAAATTGGAACCACCGTCCTAATAGGTTAGACTAAACCAAACATGCGTCCTTAAATCCTTGCCTGGGCGTGGAAATGTTTCTTGAGTTAACATAAGTAGCATCCTTGTGTCTGTCTCAGGCCCACATTCATTTTAGTGACTGTTGAAGCATGTTTAGGTTGAAGCATGACTAAGTGGGTCCCTGCACCCCCTTGCAATGGGTGACATTGTGCAGTGTTGCCATCTAATGGAGGTGCTGCCTTATGAGCTCTGCCAGTGTCAACCAGCCTGTCTTCATGTGACACCACAGCTGCCAGATTTTCCTTTTATATCTACTTGCCTACCTCACCAGGCTTAGGCAAGGACCGGATGATAATAATGCTTTATAGTAAATATAAGAAATGCTTTATAAACCATGAAGTGCCATCCAAGTGCTAGTGTCATTGCCATGGGACCAGGTCTTGGAATGTGAGAAAAAAAGAGCAGCCTAGGTGCAGCTGAAATGGCCAGATGTTGAGCATCTGTCAGCAAAGTGCCACATCGCTGAGCACCCAGTTTCTAAAGTGCTTCTTATGGGACAGAGTGGCCTTCATGGAAGGTATACAGTTTGACTTCTCTTTAGCAGTGTAAATCAAAAAAGGGCATAGTGACAGCATGACTGGATGGAGCCTGGGCCCTTTAAAACCTTGCCAAGGACTTGTGCTGCCACGCAATTATTATGAATACAGTAGGGAGAAAGATGTCTTTGTGGGGCATGACCCCTTCCTCTAGCGATCGTGTGTGATTTGGGGTGGCTGTGTATGAGCACTGGGCTGTTTCCTCTCTGACTGTCTGTTGCCCAATGAAGTAGCTTGCAGCAGGGCTCAGAGCTGAAGCCAGGTTCTCCTGCACTAACAGGGTAGTCATGGAAATGCCATTGTCAGTGTGGCCTCTCTGGTTATCTGAAATCTTGATGTCTACCGTAATACCGTGAGAAAATTGGGCTTACACAGCAGGATACTGTACTGCTCTTTGCTATGTAGCATCTAGCCCTAGGGAGAGACAAAAAGAATGAAAAGGTCTACCTTCAAGTGCAAAGAGAATCATAGGCATTTAGAATTTGTAGGCATATAAATGAAATTAGCGTCAGTTTTAATACAAAGTGCCACAGGAGTCAGTAGCCAGGGGGCAGGGATGGAAATGAAAGAACCATCTAACCCCGGGTGGTAGGGGAAGGTGAGGGGGATGCGGAGGAGATGACGTCTTCACTAGCTCAAGCCCTTTTTACCCAGAATCCTCAGCTAAATCTGAGTGTAGATTACATACAAAAGCAAGGATGGGAGGAACACTTTTACTGCTTAATTATTCATACACTAATTTAAAAACATATATTAAATGTGCCAGACACTCCTGGGCACTGAAAATATAAGGATAACCAAAACCGAAACCAGTCCCTGTCCTCCCGAGGCTCACAGCCAGGTGGGGGGGGGGGGACAGGCGTTAATGCAGTCATCATGTCCGGCTGTGAGGTGGCCGTGGTGATGAGTTCTATGGTGGGAGGTACGTGTGGCTGGGGGGCGTGGGACAGGGATTTGACCTAGTTAAGGAGGACTTCTTTGCGGAAGTGATGAAGGAATTGAAATCACGGTGCAGAAGCTAATAAGACAAAGAGTGAAATGCCTCTTCCTATATTCTGCTTTTGATTAGCATTTCACTTCACCCGTCCACCTCTTAATTGAAACAAACCTAGCACACAGGTATACCTCCTCTGGAGTAAAGCTGAGTTACTATCGCCTTTTTGAGATTAGAGAGTGAATGGCTGACAGCTATGTGTGTATGCTTATTATCCAAGGCAGCCAAGGTGTTTATCCCGTTACAACATCCCAGGGGATGGAGGCTGTAATTTGTGGCTCTTTTTTTCCCACCCGTAACACCAGAGATGTGGCTTACATCATAATGCTGCACCTTGTTGATGCCTCAGTGCTCACAGCTCAATGGTGATTTCTGAAGCACTTTGTTACACTGGGGGCAGTTCATAAATTCTCAAACTTCTTTTTGTCCTCACCTTGGAATCTTGGGCCCTGCAGATCACTCTTACTTTGCCAAGTTTTTCAGCTGCATTTAGACTCCATTGTAGTGCAGGCCAAATAGCCTCCCCCTTCTCATCAACACCTGCACAAACTTTTCTAATATTTGTAGTGGAACTGTTACCATTAATATTGCTTAAAGTCTAGGGCATTTGCCAAAATCTAGATGTATAGAAATTTTCTGTTGCAATAGAAATGTTAGAGTTATCCAATTACCAAAACCTTTTTCCAGCTGAGATAAATGATAAGCTTTTTATCCTCAGTTCTGAAATCTGACTCATTAAAAGACATATGGGGGGAAATGCTGTAATACAGAAAGCTTCTTCATGGCAAGCAAATCCCTAGCTGTCTGAGGTAATCAGAAAATTCAAGGCTGGTCCCTAAGGTGCATATAATTTATCCAACAGGTTTGAGAGAAGGCTGGTTTTTTTTTTTTTACCAAGTGTTTGTTTGAAGGAAAAAAAATCAGTTTAGGGGAAAGGAAGGCTTGTAGAAATAGATACCAAGGAGATTCAAACTAAAAATTCTACCAATTAGATCTTTATTCAGTCAGCAAAATATTGACTAAGCCTCTACTGTGTGCCAAGAACTACCCTACATGGCGGCAGTGAAGGGGTTAATGTCAAATCCCTGCCTTCCTAGACCTTACAGTCTCATGTGAGAGCACAGACAAGAAAGAAATAGAACATGTATGTTGGACGGCGATGAAGCTGAGTAAAGATGATCTGGAGTCTTGGGCTGGAGAGTTGCAATTTTATACGGGGTAGTTAGGGATCTCTCCAATAAGATGGTATCTGACAAAGGAGCAGAGACCTGAGGCAAATGAGAGAGTGAGTCGTGTAGTTGTCTGTGAGAATTGCACTTCAGATGGAGGGGCAGTGATTGTAACGGCTGCCAGAGTGTGAGGAGCCCCCGACAGGCTGGTTTGGCTGGAATAGAGTGATGGAAGGGGGATGAGTAGGAACAAGAGAAGAGCAGGAGTTCGGGTGTTGTAGGGTCTTAAGTGCTGATGTAAAGACTGTCTTTATTCTGAGTAACATGGGAGGCCATTGGAGGCTGTTGAGCCGAAGAGTGACATGTTGTGGTGTATTTTAAAAGGACCTCTCTGACTGTTGGGGGGAGAATAGACAGTCGGGGGTGAAGGGTGGAAGCAGAGATTAGTTAGAAGGCTGGTGCAAAACTCCAGGTGAGAAATCATGGTACCTTAGACCAGGATGGCTAGCAGTGGAGGTAGAGAGCAGTGCTCAGCAGATGTATTTTGGAGACGGCTGATAGGATTTGCCAGTGGATTGGGTGTGATGCCTGAGAGCAGAGTCGCGAATGTTTCTAAAGTGATTGGCTCCACCACCTGTAAGAATGGATTTAGACTTTGCTTTTAAAGAGATGGAGGAAGACTGCAGGCAAAACCCTTTGGTGCTGGTGGGCAGTGAGAATTGGAAATTGGGAGTTCTGTTTTAGACAGCTTAAATATGAGGTACCTATGATACACCCAAGTGGAGATTGCTAATATTGGATATAATCACA